ATTGATAGGTGATGGATAGATGATACATGGATAGGTGGATGTAGAGGAAATAAAGGAGAATATTTGTAGCTCGGGGTTGACACGGGGAATCCTTGCTGTTCTCTGAGCTTGGTTGTTTTCCTGCAGACGTTTCATCACCATACTAGGTCACATCATCAGTGCTAGATAGTAGATAGATAGTAGAGATTGATAGGTGATGGATAGATGATACATGGATAGGTGGATGTAGAGGAAATAAAGGAGAATATTTGTAGCTTGGGGTTGACATGAGGGCTCCTTGGTTTTCTCTGCTTGTTTTCTTGCAGACGTTTCATTATCATACTAAGTAACATCATCAGTGCTAGATAGTAGATAGATAGTAGAGATTGATAGGTGATGGATAGATGATACATGGATAGGTGGATGTAGAGGAAATAAAGGAGAATATTTGTAGCTTGGGGTTGACATGAGGGCTCCTTGGTTTTCTCTGCTTGTTTTCTTGCAGACGTTTCATTATCATACTAAGTAACATCATCAGTGCTAGATGGTAGGTAGGTAGTAGAGATACATAATGGATATGTGGATAGGGAGGTGGGTGTATGGATGGATAGATAGATATAGAGGTAATAAAGGAGAATATTGTAACTAAGGGTTGACATAAGGTGTGCTTGGTGCTTTCTCAGCTCTTATTTTCTTGCAGATGTTTCATCACCATACTAGGTAACATCATCAGTGCTAGATAGTAGGTAGATAGTAGAGATTGATAGGTGATTGATAGATGATACATGGGTAGGTAGGTAGATGTGGAGAGAGAGAGAGAGAGAGTGAGATAGAGACAATAAAGGAGAATATTCTTAGCTCAGGGTTGAAATGAGGAGTCTTCGATGCTCTCTGAGCTTGGTTGTTTTCTTGCAGACGTTTCAGTACCTTACTAGGTAACTGCATCAGTGCTAGATAGTAGTGGAGATAGATAGGTGATGGATAGATAATACATGGATAGGTAGGTAAGTAGATAGATAAGACAGACAGATAGATATAGAGGCAATAAAGGAGAATATGTGCAGCTGAGGGCAGACACGAGGGGTCCTTGGTGCTTTTCTGAACTTGCTTGCTTTTTTGCAGACGTTTCATTACCATACTAGGTAACATCATCAATGCTAAATAGTAGAGAGATATAGGTGGTGGATAGATGATACATGGATAGGTAGGTAGGTAGGCGATAGACAGACATAGAGGCAATAAAGGAGAACATTTGTAGCTTGAAATGAGAGGTCCTTGGTGCTCTCTGAGCTTGCTCATTTTCTTGCAGACTTTTCATTACCATAGTAGGTAACATCATCAGCGCTGATAATATTACCTAGTTTGGGCCATGAAACATCTGCAAGGAAACAAGCAAGCTCAGCACCAAGGACCCCTCATAATTTTATTGTCTTGGCAAAAGTGAGATCTCAAGATGCTTAAATAATGTAAAAAACTCTGTTTTGTTTGCCATTAGTAGAGCATATTTATTTATTTTTAAATTTTCCAGCGGAGGTAGCAGGTCAGTCCTCACTAACTGAGTTTAAATGTTCAATGATTTTTGTTATTGTTGTTCTTTAAGGTTGTATGAGTACTGATGATAAAATGGACTGACTGTAATAATCTGGTTTTCTATTGAGAAACAAAGTAAAACGTCATTTCTTTATTTTTCTAAACTCTCTCTGTAAACTCTCTCTGTTATGTCTCTTAGCTTTGGATGAAGGTGATATCGCCCTGTTGAAAACCTATGTAAGTACTCCATGTAGCATTTCCAGCATTACTTTAAGAACTGGTCATAATGAAACATTTAGGAAGCATCTGCATTAAAGAAATTGATACAGTTTCCAGAGGAATATTCACATTCATATTTTCTAACACTTTTTTTTTTGGTAACTTTAATTGAGAAAATGCTTTATGGCCTTTTAAAGACCCGATTTTAATTTTTAAATATGCTTTGGTCCACTTTCTATCTTTAAATGCATAGAGTATTGTCCTCAGTGTATTTTTTATATATACACACAGAGAGAATTGTAGTTAGAAGGGAAAAGAAAAATTAAAAAAGACAGTCTTTTACTAAGAAAAAGTAATTAAATATAGTCCAAACTTTCTTCCAGTGAGTTTCTGGTTGATACATATATGATCAGAAACATACATTTGTCAAATATGTTTTCTTTGTTCGTTTTCCAACTTCAGAGGTATAGAATATTTTCCTTTGAATTTTCTTTTATACATACTGTAGACACATAGAGATTGTAGTTGGAGTGTAGAAGAGGAATATATATATATATATGTGTGCGTGTGTGTGTGTGTGTGTGTGTGTGTGTGTGTATAAAAGCAAAATACCACTCACGCATCATCACGAAATCTCCAGAACCGTAAAGCCTACAAACTTGAAATTTGGCACGTATGTTACTCTTAGCTTCTAGGTGCTCGCTAAGAAAGGATTTTTCAAAATGACCATCAGATCTTTAGTGTTTCTTATACAGTAATGAACATGCTCTGAAGCTAAGGAGTTCTACTCCCCCTTCCCACCTGAAAAGAACTCTGTTCCAACTGCCAGTTACCTCACATTCCGTTACCTCAGTTCAAACTGGCAGACGTTCCACTCCTTCACTCAGGAGGGGTCTGAGGCTCCTTACAATACTAAATGTTGGTACCTCAACAAAATGTCTATGCTTTCCATCTATGGAACTGCTTCTGGACTCAAAGTGGCGGGAGCGATATTCTGTTATCTGTTTCAATCACCGACCACCAGTGAGCCAATGGATTGAACCGGATTTTTCCTGCATTGCCTGATCACATAATTTCGTTGCAAAGCACGGGTATCCAGCTAGTAAAAAAGAGACAGTTAAATATAGATGGTCTTTTACCAAATTAAACATAGTTCAAAGATTCTTGCAGTGAGTTTCTGGATGTATGTTCAAAAACATAGACATAACATCCTGTTTAATCCATGAAATCTAAATTCTTTCCTGATAAATCTGGGATTTACTTTTTTGTCATTTTGCCTAGCAGATACTGACTACCATAAAACACTGTTTTTCTTTAGAAATGATTCGATTAATTTTAATACCAAAGTCCTGTTTGGGTGCCATAAAAAGGGGTAGAACTCACTATGTCTGCAATTTTTATTTCTTTATTTATGAAATTGATTTGCTACCCATCTTGTTTTGAAGCGACTCTGAGTAGCTTCCAGCAGGTTTAATGAAGGATGTGTGCAGCGAGGTTGTCTATATGTTTTAGTTTCCTCATGAGCTTTGATCTTTTTGATAATCATCATCTTCGTTTAACAACCCCATAATCCCTGCGGAGTGGAATTTGGGCAACTGAATGGAGCTAGCAGAGTGTTTTAATGGCCAGATGCCCTTCTTGTTGCCAGTGAGGAGTTTTGTTCAACGGATACTTTCTCATTGTGCCCAGAGAGAGAACTATCTGCCTCTGCTAAGGATTGAACTCCCAGCCTCCTGATTGCGAGACGAGCATTCCACCTCTAGGCCACGGCACCACTCCTTTGATCTTTTTGAGAATGCCTGCTGGAAAATGTTACGAAATCATATTCTTAGATTCATATTCTAAACAAAGTAGGTCTTAACAAGCATTAAATAAACGTTGGATGGAATCTCAGCTTTATTCCTTAATATTTAGTGCCGAAGCTGGGAAAAAGAACCATTTGCAACTGACCGGGGTTAGACGGCGATCGACTTAGTAAAGATAGTCTTAAATCGCAGGAATTTGGATAGATTGTAGAAGGTGGTGGTAACACAAATGTCTGTGGAGATTTTTTAAATCATTCTAGGTCATGGTTGTCCCAAAAGTGTTTTTTTTCCAGTAGCAACTGTTCTAATTTTTTCTTTGAAGACATTTCTCTTCTCATCCAAGAAGCTTCTTCAGCTCTGACTGGATGGTGAGGAATGGAAGGATTTAGACTCCTTGCAGACAACTGGTCATTTGCATCCTTTTAGAGGGTCCTTGAGGACACTTGGAGGTTTGTCTGTGTCTTCAGGGTCGCCTCAACGACTCTCCAAAAGGATGCAAATGACCAGCTGTCTGCAGGTATAAATCCTTCCATTCCCAGCCACCTTAGTCAGAGCTGAAGAAGCTTCTTGGATGAGAAGCAAAAAGTCTTCAAAGAAAAAAAAAGGAACAGTTGCCACCTTTGTGAAAGAAACATTCCTCATTTCCCTCAAACTCCGTCAATCTTTTTCAAATTCAGGGCCAGAGCACCTACTCGAGGCAAATCAAACAAGTGGAAGATGACATTCAACAGTTGCTTAAGAAAATTAACGAACTCACAGGTACTTCTTTTTTTAAAAAAAAATATTTCTTTTAGTGCTTTTAGGAGCAGTAATCTATCGGATGTTGGCCTGGACAGTCAGTCCCAAGTGCTGAATTTTCTAAGGGTTATTCTGTCATTTGTGTCAGAAAAATTCACAAGAGGGAAGGAAGGTTAAAGAAGAAAAACTAAAAACAAATGAAAGTATTTCTTCAACTGCCCAGTTCCGAGAACCCACAAATCCCACCCGTGGCTGGCCCTGCCCACCCCTCCCACCCCTCCCCTCCCAGGAGTCTCCATGCGGCCCGTTTGGGATGCCAGGTACCATATTTTTCAGAGTATAAGGCGCACCGGACTATAAGACGCACCAAGATTTTGAAGAGGCAAATTAAAAAAAAGACAAAAACGTTTTTGCACCCTGCAGACCTCCCAAGTCACAGACCTTCTCTGGCGTGGAGAGCTGCCAGACCGATATCTGCAAAACTTGGCAAGGAGTCTTAGTCACAAATCAATGAAGCGAACTAATTGTCTCCTGCAAACTCCACTCCCCTTTCGCTCCTCTTTTATTTGCTTTGGGAGGGGCCATTCATTCTCCACTTACGGCCTAATTCCCAAGTTAATCCCTGCTCTTTAGCTGTTCCCTTTGTGTCTGGCCACTCTGCGCATGCGCACACTGGGAACAGGCTCCAGCTGTTCGTCTGCCTCACTGATGTCTGACTCTGAAGGCAGCTGTTAACTGGCCTACGGCTCTGGCCCCCTCTCTGCCTCCGACACAGAGCCCTCTTTAGAGCCTTCCCCAGACTCCAGGACTGGCCCATGTTCCTCCCCAACCTCCTCACTGTCCGAGTCTGCTGTCAGCTCCTCTGACGGGCCACAATAGCAGGCACCTACCTGCTGCTCTCATCCAAATGACAAAAGCGGCATCATGCCATAATCTCTGCCCCTTTGGGAATGTGTAAGTGACATCGCCACAGTTGAATAAAGGGGGTGGAGCCTATATGCTGCTTTTATTTTTAGATTGGTCCTTTCCACCCATCCTTCTCCCCACCACCGCTTTTGACCAAGGCTCTCCAAATTTGCCCATTTTAAGGCTTGAGGAATTCTGGGGTTTGAAGTCCCCAAGTCTTTTAATGTGGGCAAGTTTGGAGACCCCCCCCCCCTTCTTTTGACCCTTCTCTAGCCCTGACTTTAAAAGAAGATTTATTTCTGTCCCGTTTTGAGTTGACTTGCAAGTTGTAAATTTGCTGCAGTAAGCTAATGCTTGAATATATATTGTGTTGGTTTATATGGCAAAATGGTTCCTTGTTTCTTTTGTTTTTCCCCCCTGTAGGCATTAAAGAATCAGATACTGGCCTGGCACCACCTGCCCTGTGGGATTTAGCTGCTGATAAACAAACTCTTCAAAGCGAGCAGCCACTACAGGTGGCCAGGTATATCATAACCTCATAATAAATAACAACTTTTTTTATTCAGTCAGTGATTTAGCCAAGCTCTTATCAAAAGGAGGAGCGTTCAATCCTTTGTGTATAACCTTTACTTCTTGTTGAAGAGTGAAATTGTTTTAAGTCATCATCTCCTTTTAATGACCCCCCATAATCCCTTGCGGGTGGAGTCTGGGCAACTGAATGGAGCTGAGTGTTTATTGGCCGGATGCCCTTCCTGTCACTGTTCAGCAGATATATTCGCTTAGTCTCAGCTTTGCTCAGAACAGCTTACTGTCAAGACTGACTCGCATTTTCACCTACATTTTTGCTTCGCTCGCAGTTTAACAATAACATTTGTGTGTGTGTAATGGGAGGGTGGGAGAATGGTATCCAAGCATCTGTCGGCTTCCATGAGACATTGCCAGCATCTCAAGGACACATCGAGTAGATGTCCCAGCATGGCTGGCTGTTCCACATAACAAAATGAACAGAAGTGATTGGTGGACTTAATGGACTGTGAGTGACCCATAGAGAAAACGGGGAATTAACTATGCTTGCTTTTGCACAGGAAACACAGAGCTGGTTTTGCTTCTTCTGTGCCAATGTGGTTTATTCAGTAAAGTTTTATACTCTTGGTAAAAAATAATGTCCCAGGAGTTTCTTTTTCTGGATTCGCCAACTGGACAGTAGACACTTACCTCCTGTGACGATAGCTTTAATACTGTCAAACATGTACTTATCCCCAGGTCCTTAGAAAAGACTTGATAAGTGCTCAAATATGCTAAATCCAGTCTGAACACCTGGCTGAGCATTGCAACAAACCATTTGAAGAAGAATAAAAAACGGCTGTGAATGATACTTTGCTGAATGCTGGCAGGTTGAACTGTATTTGTTTTACCGACTCCTTTTCTCTCTGAATTAGGTGTACAAAGATAATCAACGCGGATTCGGAGGACCCCAAGTACATTATCAATGTTAAACAATTTGCCAAGTTTGTGGTGGATCTCAGTGACCAAGTGGCCCCCACCGACATTGAAGAAGGAATGAGAGTTGGGTGAGTTGGCTTTACTCTCCCTGGGATTGAACCAGTTACCGTCTCCCTCTGTTTTCTTATGCTCATTGGGGTGCAAAATACAACCCAGCTCTATAATTATTGAAACATCTAGCTGGAACTGGCAGTCATTTCTATAAGCATCGTATAGATCCGAGATGGCAAACCTATGGCACGCATTTCTCCGGGCATGCGAGCCATCGCCCATTGCTGTTCCGGTGTGCTGGTCAGCTGGTCTTCATATGCGCGAGAGTGCTGGAAACTGGAAGAGCAGCCGCCCAGTGCGCATGCGTGCGCCAGGAAGATGATCTTCCGGTTTCTGACACACGCATGGGCTCCGGCCAATTGGTCTTTTTGTTGGGGGTGTTACTGGGAACTCGGATAGATGTTTGCCATTCAGTTAGTTATGTTCTGTTAGTATGTCAATATTCTGCATGCCGTCATTTTCTTAACATGCCAGACGGATGTTTTGAGCTTTAAAAAAGACATATTCAAAACAAGCGGTTTTTTTCCCCATTTCTTTATGCAGCGTGGACAGAAACAAATATCAGATCCACATCCCCCTACCTCCAAAGATCGACCCGACGGTGACTATGATGCAGGTGAAGACACCTCTTGATTCTTCTTGGTTTCTCCACAACTTTTCCCATCAGTGGTTTTTCACCCGGAAGAATCTGCGAGATTTCCGACTGCCTGACGGACCTCTGTTTTCTCACGCAGGTGGAGGAAAAACCGGATGTCACGTACAGCGACGTGGGAGGATGCAAAGAGCAGATCGAGAAGCTGAGAGAGGTGGTGGAGACCCCCTTGCTTCACGTAAGGATGAAACCTTTTTCGTTCTATTTTACATTGGACTACGCAATAAACTCGGCTTCGGCCAGCAGAAAGGCGTAAATTGTGGGTGCTCCTTCTGCATCTTGTTTATTAGGCATCTTTAGACGGCCCAGTGGCTTGTTCCTCTCCAGTGGTGGTATTCAGGCGGTTCGGACCGGTTCAAGTGAACCAGTAGTGGCGACCTGTGGGTGAACCCGCCCTGGGCCCGCCCCGGCTCTGTGCCATCCTATTTAACTACATTTTCTCTAATCTAAGCTGCGCGCATGTGTGCAAGCCCCACGTGCAAGCAAATCGCATGCACAGAAGGCCGCGTATATGTGCAGAAAGTGTGCGAGTGAAATAACATGCATGTACACCCACATTTTTGGTGCGCAGTGAACTGGCAGTAAAATTGTGTGAAACCTACCTCTGTCCCTCTCCTAAACAAAACAGGTTTAGATGCCAAGGTTGGTGGCTGGCTTCTAATGTTGGTTTGCAAGGAGAATGAAGCTAAAAGCCACTGCCAACCATCTTTATTTCTAGGCATTTTTTAATTGAGTTATAAAGTAATGTAAAATACAAAGTACAAAATAAATAGGAAAGCAGTGGGGAGGGAAAAGGGAAAGAGAGGTGAGGAAAGAGAAGGGGGGGAAAAAAGAAAAAGTAGCATTGACTTCCGACTTAAGGAAATCACTCCCGTTGTTAAGCAAATCAGACTTCCCCCATTAAATTTGCTTGTCGGAAGATTACAAATTGTGATCACCTGACCCCCCCCAGGACAGTGCCACCGTCATAAATACGTGCCAGTTGCCAAGCACCCAAATTTTGATTATGTGACCATGGGGGGGAGGGGGGATCCTGCAACGGTCAGAAGTGTGAACAG